TAAACAGGAAATAAACCCAGCTAAACTTAGGATGTACACACACAACGCAACCAGATTACAGGAAGCTATATCAACATTCAACACACAGGGAGATGGCAGAATCTCTTGTAAGATGATTGAACATTTGAAAAAAAAAATAACAGAAAATGAATACCCTTGATATAGATGGTGTTAATCTGACAGAGTCCAAAAATGAATAAACAATTATGTTATATATGAAAAATTTAGTCTTGTATTGTTATTAAACATTACACAGACACAAATATTATTTACTATTTGATTGCAAACTTTTTACTTTTTTCAACCTGATAAATTATTTTACTTCACTCCTCATTAATAACATTTAAAATAAATGCTGCTCATTTCAAGTTGGGGACAAAGTCCAGTCAGTTTATTCTTCTTTCTTACTTGACCATCATTCCAATGATGTAAAATAGGATATTTGAATAGCAACCAATATACAAATGTTTTTGAAGTAGGATTTTAAAATAAGAATTGTTGCACAGGGACAATTCTACTATCTTGGCTTGCAGGGATTTTTTTTTTTTCCTTTCTCCCAGTCATCAGTAACATGGGACATTATAACCAGTAGCCTTTCATTTCGCAGGACGTAAAAATTATCACCAAACTGACTTAGAAGCTCTACCCTTGAGCAGGAATCCGAGATGTCTGTCTCTTCAACTGGTTACTAGAGGACTCATCTGCTATTTATCGACATCTGGAGGGAGAAGTGAATCCATATGTTTCTTAAGAGCAGTTGCAAACTTTGGTCAATACCTGAATTCTGTTCACCAATTCTGTTGTCCTTGTGCCAGGAATTGTTACACAACAATACACCTCAGTTCATTGCACAAAAATAAGAGAATTTTTGCATATATTCAACATTAACTTCACTTTTACCATTTTGTTCCACTATCTTCCGCTGTCTTTGGGGCAACTTTATAATTCCCTGTTCTGAACAAAGAATTGCTTGAGGTGTTCTCTGCAGTTTTCAATGGAATTAAATTTGTTTTTATTTTCATTAAGAGAGTTCTGTAAAGACTGAAGAAATTCATTAACTGGAGGTGTAATATCTAGTGAATAGGGATGAAGTGTGAAAACTTACCAATCAAGCTGTACGATCTAACAGTTTTTGTTTGGTCACCAAAGAAACTTTTTGTCCAACATAGATAAACAAACCTCAGCTAAGAAGAGAAGAGTAAGGCTTATTTCTCTATCTTGTGAACATGATTAATATCGTTTGAATAAAAGGCATTTCTACAGAAAGTCAGCTTCTAAGAAATAATTTTTTCAAGTTTTTTTTTTTTTTTATAACTATCAATGAAACACTTCAGGTCATGAATATCAAATTTTTGTGTTATTTTTTTCAATTTTATTAAAAAAATTAATAGGGGTCCAGTTTGCTCAGAAAATTCATTGTAAACTGGTTTCTCTATGGCAATCACCCCACATATGTTTGTGTGTACATAAATATTCTCAGAGTATATCGATAAAAGAGACAAAATGAAAAAATATATATATATATATATATATATATATATATATATATATATATATATATAAAAGACAATCTTTCACTATATGGGGTGTATTTCTATTACACCCTGTGTGTATGTGTGTGTATGTATATACATAATTCCTGTCTACTCTTGGTTTCAAAACAATCATGAAAAATAATTCCAAATGAAAATAAAGAAAGTCAATATATTTAAAACATATTCTTACTTACCATTTTTCCTGTGTTGTATAAAAAACACTTATATACAAAATTTCTAATAATTTCAAAACAGCCACAAAATATGAATTTAAATCATATATTATTACTTATTTACTTACTTGAAACCAAAAGTAGAAGTGTATCCCATGTGATAAGCATATTAATTTTTTTGTGTAGGGAAAAGAATTTGCAATGAATTTATATAGCAAACTCCCCCCACCCCTTTTTTAAATTATTTCTGGGAGAGATGCATTTCCGTAGAAATTCTGATTAAAATCTAAATTATTAAAACATGGCTGATGAACTGTAAATGCATAATATTAAACAAATGCTTGTTATAATAAATAAAACAGAACAATGACTTCAAATACAGATTAAGAATATAACAAAAAAAAAAGACAAGCATTTGCTACAGCATTCAATCTTCTTGCAATATAAAAAGTTAGCGCAAAATTAGTAAAAAACATGGGTGGGAGGGAGTAAAAGAAATATTTCATTTATATAAACTTAAGTGTCATTAACATTTACAGAGTTTTTTTTAAACAGCTTATTTTTTTTGTACCAACAATGTTTCAGCTGATCTATTGGGTCTTCTTCAGGTGAACATTTGTTTTTAATGCTATGTCTCCACAGGAAATAGGCAATCATTGCTCTCCCCAGATTCCTTTTGTTTATTGTCTGTGAATTGCCATAGCCTCTTCAGAAAGATAGTGGAGTGGTTTCCTGTTGCCGTCTCCATAGCTTTGAATTCAGAGAAGTGAGCCCTGTCTATCCTGCTATTTAATGCATATCTGTACAGGGAGAAATGAATTCCTTCCTTTCCCAAGAACATTTTTGTGGAAGCAAATGCAAATCAGCTTTCCGCTTCCATTTTCTAGACCAATTACCATTACACTACCTGCACATCTCTTTATGACTCATATTAAAGAAAATAAATTCTTTTAGTCTGCAAATCAAGACACAGTAATGAAATCTTTTAATATTAATACTAAAGCTTGTAAAATCAGTTGTTCTATTTTCAAAAATGTGTACAGCATAAAAAGTTCCATAATTTTTAACTTGAAGATGTTCTAAATTTCTTTCATTATGAAAGAATTCTATCATTTATTCCTGTTGCGCTATGAAAGTGCAGACTGAGTTGTTGATATTTCATTTTCTGTTTGCTGCAGATTTTTAAAGACCCAAAATTGGATCAGCTAAAAATGCTTGGAGATCCAGAAATGAAATCAAATGTCCAAAAAGCTCTTTGAAATCTTTTTATCTTAACATCAAGAAACTTCTTAACCTATTAAATCTGCTAGAGATGATTGATTCATTAATTTTGTACATCTTAACCATTTGCAGGTTATTTCAAGCTAGAAAATATTTTTGATTGTAAAAATTTATTTTTTGCAGATAATAATGATTTAGCAATACAAGTCTTATTAACCAATAGCTTGGGGGAGAAGAGGTGGATTCATAGCCAATCAGAATTTTATAATCAGAAAGAAATTATGATGTGGACATAGTGGGGATCAATTTTATATTACAATCAATATATAAACTGATCCCTCACTTTTTAACCACATGTTTCAATATATTTATATTGCAGATAATGTAAATAAATCTAAAAGACATGTCTGTGTAACTAATCAGTATTTCATTGATTAATTGATTCATTTTCTAGATCTTATCAACCCACTGCAGGTTATTTAAAGCCAGAAAACATTTTTGATAGTAAGATTTTATTTTTTTTTTGAGATAATGAGTTAATGATACAAGCCTCACTAATTAACCCATAGCTTGGGGGAGAAAGGTTTTTTTATTCCAGTCATCAATTTTTACTTTCTTGGAAGAATCAAGAAATTTCTAAAGAGAAATCTCATCAGCTGGTTTCAAGTAATAAAGAGAAAAAGGTTTATCATCATGAAGAAACCATTTAAATCAGAATTTACCTCCAAGATAAAATTCTGAGATTTAATTTGTGTTATAACCATTCTTCAAATAAGTTTTTATATCGTTTGGCATTTGAGTGTACCTCAACCATTACACTGCTGACATGTAGACAAAAGCCTCTCTGCACTATTTTATTGTCGAGTCTTCCATTATGGCTCTCCGCAGCATAACAGTTCAAGTAATGTTTGTTGGGGGAAATTTTGACAGTTTAGCAGAACTTTAATTTTCTATTTGTTTTTATCAGAAGTTTTAAAAGTTTTAATACCTTTTGTTGCTTTTTCTTTCTTTTTTTCTGTTAATTCTTTGATCATTAACTATTAATTTTTTGTTGATTTATCCTTTGACCATTAAATAATTTTTTTAGCTAATCTATTTTTCGGCCATTAAATCTTTTGTCGATTCCCTCTTTGACCATTAATTTTCCTCTATCTTTTAGTTATTAATTTTTTTTTTGTAACAAATTATACTTTAACCACTAAACTCTTACTTCATTGGCCAGTAATATTTTTTTTCTTTTTTTATGATTTATTTATTGACCATTAATTTTCCATTCCTTGACAATTATTTTTTTTTTAATACAATTTATTATTTGGTCATTAATTATTTTTGTTGATTTATTCTTTGGCCATTAAACTGACTGAAATTAGTAGATAAGCTCATAAATGTGATAAAAAGTTGCCAAAAAAAAATTGAAGAACCCAGTCAAAACTAAAAATATTTCAGATCAGAATTTCTGTTTTTGTTAGTAAAATGATTTTAAAACCTTTTATAAATCTAAAAGGGCAACTGAAATCATATCTGGTAAGTTGGACATTAGACTAACCAAAAATGAGCTACAGCAGATTTAGAGAGAACAACCTCTTCAGTCTGAGATATTTTAGCAATAGATTAATATGAGATCAAAAATTGAAAGCAGGGCAATAGTATTAAAAGGTGGACTTTTTCATCAAGAGAGTAAATTTCTATTTCTGTTTGAGTGCATTAATATCTACACTGAACAGATTTTAAAGTCGACAAATTAACCTAGCATGTCAGATTTGGGGTAGGGAGAAGGTTTATAAAACCCTGATACCCAAATTGCCATTCATAAAAATTGCCTGAATCTTATCCGATTTAGAAATTTAACATATTTGATGGCATATAAAAATCCCATCACTATTTCAGCAGTGAATATTTATAAACATTAATAGATTATTAAAACTTATTAAAACTTATTAAAAGTAAAAATTGATGATTGAAATAAAAAATATAACTGGAAATGAATATTAATCTGTTAACTGCAGATGACGGAAATTTCAGTCTTTGCAGTTTGGTAGCTCAATTGCAAACAAGAGAAATTCAGACTTAAGGCCATATCATGTTGAAACACTGGTTCCTGTAAAGAACACCAAAGTTAAGTAATATCAAGCCTGATCAGTACATAGATGGGTGACCACCTGGGAATACCAGGTGCTATAAGCTTGGATTTGCAGGTGATGTAATAGATAATGGCTCGGAATTGTTAATCATGGGCCAAAGTTCCAATTTCAGTTGTGCTCATTATATTCTCTTACATGCAAATACCCTTACGAAAGATAAGAATCAACCTTTCTCCCTCAAGCTATGGGTTAATTAGTGAGACTTGTTGTATCATAACTCATTATCTAAAAAAAAAATAAAATCTTACTCTCAAAAATATTTTATTGTAAAATCACAAGTTTGTTAGAAATTCACATGCCTATAATCATAATTCCTGCCTCTGTTTCAAAACATACAATAGGAATTTTTCTTTTTCTGATAAAAATATAAAACTTAAAAGGGGTTAGAAAACTCAATAAGACTGAAATATAAACAAAGATTACAGGAGGTATGGGTGGCATATAGTTAAAGGCACAGAAAATGAAATCAATGAACCAAGTTCAACCTCTGGTAGGGACAGTTTTCATCTATTTCATATGCTTGGGAAAGGCATGAATGCACATCTGCCTTTAGTTATGCATAAAAAGGAGGGCAGTTGGTGCCCTGTCATCCTGTAATCTTGGTTGTCAGATTAGAAAACCAGTAGCATAGAAATTCACTTGTAAATGAAATCATATAAGCGCCCCTTAATGTGGTTACAGTCCTACTCTTGAGAAAGAATTTGCAGGAGAAAAAATTCAAATAAAGTAATCCACAGGGAATTAGGTGTAACTTTCATTTTTGTATGTTCCCTCCACTGGAAGTTAAAAGAAAATTTTTAAAAAAAATTTCTTTAAATTCTTAAAAAATTAAAAAAAAAAAAATTAAAAGAAAAAAAAAAAAAATTTTTTTTAAAAATTAAAAACAAAAAATTAAGAAAGTTAAAAGGAACTAAAAAGAAATATAGGCACTGAAAGAAATTTAAAAAATAAAAAAAAAATTTTTAAGTTTTTGAAAATTAAAAAAGTTAAAAGAAAATAAGAAAATTTTTTTTAAATTTTTTAAAAATTAAAAAAATAAAAGAAATTAAAAAAATATAGATACTAAAAGAAATTAAAAAAAAACAAATTTTTGTCCAAACTTTTCTGATTTCTCTTCGACCTTATTCCAAATTATCCATCATGGAGAACTTATAATTTACATAACTGCTTTTAATTATCCAACTTACATTGTAAACTTCATGTTTAACACGATTTAATCCTGTAGATCTCTTGTGGAATGTATGGTCATAGTGTCACTGATGGTGATGCTGTTTCAGCAACTTGTAGGTTTTTTTTTTTTCTTTTTTTACAAAGTGGAGTTGCTAGCTGCATGTCCGACCCTTCAGCTTTGAATTCATAACTGTCCTTCTCAGAGAGTGGTCACCAACAAAACCTACATAATCTAGTCTGCTTTGTCATTTAATGCATATCTGGATGAGGGATGGATTCATCTCTTTCCTAAAGGTATTCATGCAAAATAAACCGTCTTGACTAGAACTTGAACTCTGCTCACCAATTCTAACTGTTAGGTCACCTGCACTCTTACAATTCATCGAAGTGAATTTATGTCAGAGAGAATTAATCTAAATATTTACTTTTAAATATCATTGATAATAGTCTGTTAGGGATAAAAGGAAAATGAATGTCCATCAGTTAAAACCATAATCATCCTTTCAGTCAGTTAATATTTGTTTGAAATTGATAATTTTAAAACAAGTTAAGATTAAATTGAATTTTTCTTACTTGCACATTATGTGAGCTCAAGATGCATTATGGGAGATTTTTGATTGTAGTGAAACACTTGAAATGTTAAATAAAATGAAAGAATAAGATAAACTGCAAAAAACAACTTTTGCTGCTCTTCATAAACATGCCAAGGGATGATTAGTTTATTTGTTAGACCAGAAATATTAATGCAAATATATACATTACCTTCCATGTTAGTTGGGTCTTCTTCTTGGTTGTATACAGAAAGAATGGTGTGAGGAAGTGACAGCAACTAATTGTAAAGCATTAACAGAGTTGCAATATTTTATGGAAATTGTCTCATTCAGTTAGTGGTTCCATCAGAAATTCTTTTCCTTAAAAAGCAGCTATACAAGAAGAAAAAGAGGCTGTCAGGGCAGAGGAAAGACCTGAGGGGCTGTCGGGGGCAGGGAAAGACCAGAGAGGCTGTCGGGGGCTGTCGGGGGGGGAAAGACCAGAGAGGCTGTCGGGGCAGGGAAAGACCAGAGAGGCTGTCGGGGGGCAGGGGAAAGACCAGAGAGGCTGTCGGGGGGCAGGGGAAAGACCAGAGAGGCTGTCGGGGGCAGGGGAAAGACCAGAGAGGCTGTCGGGGGGGGCAGGGGGAAAGACCAGAGAGAGGCAGGGGGGGGCAGAGGAAAGACCAGAGAGGCTGTCGGGGGGGGCAGAGGAAAGACCAGAGAGGCTGTCGGGGGCAGAGGAAAGATCAGAACGTGATTCAGAAAGGTCTGGGAGAAGATGGAAAAAGGAAAGGTAGAAGAGAAAGAAAGAAAAACTAGACTTTGGACGCAGAGGATGAAAGCGACAGAAGTAATAGATGGTGGAGGGAGGGAAGTGGCTAAAAAGAAGGGAGGTTGAATGGAAGGAGGTTAAAAGATTTGATAGAAGGGGCATGAGAGATAGAAAAACTGGTGTTGAGGTGTCATGGAAAAGTGACAAATAAAAGATGGTGGAGATGGAAACAGAACAGGAAAAAAATTGCAAGTGGAGTAAAATCCAAATATAATGATTGTACAATTTAAATGGTTAACCCATTACACCAGAAAAGTGCCTTAAGGTGAAATTTAAAGTTAAAAAAACAATTAAATCTGAACTAATCTGGTTTCATCATTCATTTTATTCAGTGATGGGAACAAGAAAATGTCTTTATGTCAAAAACAGTAGGAGGAGTTATAAAATTAAAACAAATACAAAACACTTGTCAATGAGTAAAGAGACTGTGGTTTCTACGAACTTCTACAAAATCAACCATAATTATGTCCATCCTCTTATTTATATTTGTCTCTGAATCATTTGGGCTGTATCAGGAGCAAAAATAAAATTATATAAAGAAAAAATAAAAAGGAAAAGAGAGGAAGGACAGATAGAGAGGGGAGAGCAGCCGGAAGGACAGAGAGAGAGAGAGGAGAGCAGCCGGAAGGACAGAGAGAGAGAGAGGAGAGCAGCCGGAAGGACAGAGAGAGAGAGAGAGGGGAGAGCAGCCGGAAGGACAGAGAGAGAGAGGGGAGAGCAGCCGGAAGGACAGAGAGAGGGGAGAGCAGCCGGAAGGACAGAGAGAGAGGAAGAAGAGCAATCCAATAGGAAAAAGTAAAAAGCTTCAAATAATCAAACATCAATGGAAACTTAATTTTTGATTGGCAAAAACAAAAAGAAAGAAATTTTTGTTGTGTATCAATTGTTTAATCAGCCACTGATTGCAACAATGTAGTGAAAAAAAAAAAACAAAAAAACAAAATCAGGCAAGTAAAAAAACAAACAATTTACAAACTGCAGAGAAAGACAAAAAAAGCAAGGTCAATGTATAGGTTAGTGAAGTAGAAAGTCAGCCAAAATTTATTGAGGCAATATCAAAGACAGACCAAAATGAATGTAAAGAGAAAAAGAAAAGCAAAAAAAAGAGAAAATATTACAAAAGGCAGCCACATGAAGCAAATACCATCAAGCAATTTTTTCTTTGGAAAAAAACAAAAAAAAAAAAAAAAAAAGAGAAAAAAAAAGAAAAAAAAGAGAAAAATAAAATCATTGTTTCAATGCCCCCAAGTGAAGTATGTGTGTATATAACTGATTCAGCAAATGTGGTACTAGACAATAATTGTGTATTGTGTACTTAAAAATGCCTTTCCTTTTCTATTTGTTCCATTTTTTTTTCTTTTACTGTGTTAGTCAGATAAAGATAAAAAGGCTGAGGTGAAAAGGAGGACAAAAGAGGAACTTGTCTTATAAAGAGAATAAGAATATTTAACTTGAGTAATCTCCCTTTATAAGAGTTCTTTGGGCCAGGGAAAATAACAAAATGCCTGCACAAGTCTCACATATGACTAATTTATACAGGTTTTGACAATTGCTAAGTTTAATAAAGGAATGATATTAATTGCTCAGTCTTTACAGAGGAAGCAGAAATTTAGTAATCAACAGAGGAAAAACTCAGTTATGATTTTTAAAAAAGGGGCAGATAACTAGATATGTTTTTACTTTGGCCAGTGGCAACAGCAGCAGTTGTTATTCTCAAAGTGAATAATGGAATAATTATGGCACTTAATTCTTTGACTACAACAAGAAAAATTCCTGGTATGAAATATAGGAGAAACATAGAAAAAAAATCTATGGTCTGAGGGATGAGAACAAAGACAGGGAATTCGAAAGTTTTCTTTTTATAATAGTTGTATTACAGTGAAGAAAAAGATACAAATTATAAAAGTGATAGGGAGAATGGTTAGGACAAAAGAATGAACTTTTTCTTTCACCATCCAATAGAGTGTAAAAAGAAAGAGAGATAGAGAGAATATATTGGAGAAATGATATTGACAGAGCAGTAAGGAGGAGGAGATATAAGTACAAAAGTTGAGAACAGAAATAACGTAGATAAAAAGAGGAAAAATTTGATCTTGCATTTTACACAACAAAGATAGAAATAAAGGAAATAAAATCAGTGCAAAAAAAGGGGAGGGGCATTTTTTTCTCCCTTTTATACAGTGGAGAGAGAGAGATATAAAGAGAAAGTGAGACATATCTAAGATTATAGCAGAATCAAAAAATACTTCACTTCTCAATAATGGATTTTGTCATATGGTATTGCAAAAAAAAAAAAAAAAAAAAATATATATATATATCCCTGGAAGCATTTGAATCATCTTCTGCAAGTTTACAAAGAATATATATTCATATACAGATATAAGTGTGTGTGTGTGTCTATATATATATATATATATAGATATATATATATGCAAAAAAAAAAAGTTTTATACTTATGTATGTATGTACATATATGTCTATGTAGAACATATGTAACGTGCAGTATAGGGTTATAGCAACAGATTGGGGAAGGGGTTAACAATGGTCAGTCACACCACTAAAGAGCAAATAGTTGCTACTTAGTGGTTAATGACTGACTGGTGATGACCTCATAATCATGGACTGGAAATTCAACCAGTGAAGTTACTAAAGTTTGTCTTAAGGGTAATGGTGGGTTTCGTTGGTACTTGGGAGTTCTGTTTCATGGTTTGTGGATTTGCTAGTAAGGACTTCTTGCTCGTCTGACTGGCCTTGACTGCTGCCTCAAGTCGAGGTTTGAGGTCTGGGGAGCTGCTCATGGCCAGGCGGAAATCACTGGGGTAGAGTGGGCCAACTTTCATCAGGTGTTGTAGGGCCCTGTCATGGAGCATCTTCGATAGTGGGGAACATGAAGCCAGACTTGTCTCGCTGAGCAGAAATGAAATCAGCATGGGCACAAGCACAAGGACTAGATTTACACCTGGAAGAAAAGAACAGGTGAGAAGAAAAATTTTTGAGAGAAGAAAAAACAAAATTACACAGTAATATTTCGTTTTATGCTTGAGATCTTTCTAAAAAAAAAAAAAAAAAAAAAAAAAAAAAAAAAAAGACAGCATAAAACAAAGTCACTATAACCTAGTGTAAATCAATCAAGATATAAGCTTTTTTTTTTATGGCATGCCTTTTCAAGACATAGGTGATCATGCCTCTCCACAGCATTTTTGTTATATGTGAATTACCATGTATTCTTGGGAAAGATAGTGGAGTGGTTTCTCATTACCTTCACCACTGTTTTTGAATTCAGGATCGTCCACTTAGACTGGTTACCACCTAAAGCCAGGGAGCACAGTCTATACTATTCAACCCAAAGCTCAGGGGAGAAGAGATAGATTCATGCCTTTCCAAAAAGCATTGGTAACAAACTAGCTTGGAATTTGAACTCAGCTCCCTATGCCCACTTTCTCAGGCAATATCACTTACACTTTCTGCACATCCCCTTGAAAGGTTATTTTCAATATTGTTAATTGTAATATAACAGAGCTATTAAGTATATATTAATAAATATACATATTATCCCTCACTGGTAGCATGATAAAATATAGTTTTATGGTATGCTATTTTTATGGGTTAAAGTGCTCAATATCAGGGATAGAGTATATGTGAATATAACAATGGACATTAAAGTCAACACCCAGAGGCAAAAGTCTGTTTCATGATTGCATTTAAGCATTAAACAGTCTGTCACCTCTGGGTGTTGCTTTCAATGTCCATTTATAGTGATTTTCAAAGCATAGCTTAGATGTGGCACAAGGCCGAAAGTATGGGGCACCCAGTGAGGATCGAACTCACTACTTGGTCGTAAATGATCTATCAAGACAAGCTTCCTAACCATTACACCACGTCGAGGTGCCTCAATGTCCATTTATATATAACTTCCTGTTATTTTTGTTATGTGTAAAGCTTTTCTTTGATTTATATATATATATATATATATATATATATATATATATATGTGTGTGTGTGTGTGAAAAGTGTATATAAATATAAATAAAATATATATATATATAATTATTTATATATATATATATGAGTACTTATTAGAAAGCGCTCAATCCAATATATATATATATATATATATATATATATATATATATATATATATATATATATATATATATATATATATATACACAAGATATTTTTGTAGGTACAAAATTTAATGATTGAAATAAAAGCATAAAATTTAATATTATGAGACATATTAAAAAAAAAAAAAAAAAAAAACGGGTGAAGCAACCGGTTTCGCTCCCGCTCTTCAGGCTTCAATAGGAGATTTAAAATTAACACAGAAAAATCTACAATAAAAGGAATTAAAAAAAAAAAAAAAAAAAAAAAAATAATGAAAAGGAACTAGAGACAAATGACAGCAAGTCCCAACAAACACTCACGTTGTTTGCACAAAGAAGGCTTGCGGGACCCGATGTAAAGTGCCTCCAGAACCTTTAGATGAAATAAGGAGTGAGACCGGGACAACACGGTGAACACTAAATTTGGCTGCACAATCTCTGTTCTTTAATAGGTGTTCACATATGGCGGAGCTATAGGTGTTCGGGACAAGTCCATTCAACGGCAGGGTGTGATTTCTAATTTTAGTAGGAACGTGTTGTTTTATTCTCATGTCTAAGTGTTGAGTTGTTCTCCCGATGTAGTCGGCTCCGCAACTACAAACGTATTTGTAAATAATTGAATTAATTTGATGGGGAGGGAGAACATCTTTACACTCAGATCGAAACATAGGCCAAGTTTGAAAAATAATCCGAACTTCAGCAGAGAAAAAACAACAACGAACATTGGATGAAATTTGTTTAGCTATTTTTTCACATTTGGTACCAATCCAGGGTAATCTGAGGTAAACTGGGCATTTTTTGACAGTGTAGAGCTCGGCACTTCTGAACTCTTCAACTTTACTACGGATAACTGAATTAACAGTATCAAGAGGATAACCCAAATTACTCTAGTTCCTTTTCATTTTCTTTTTACAGTTCCTTTTATTGTACATTTTTCTTGTTAATTTTAAATCTCCCGTTGAAGCCTGAAGAGCGGGAGTGAAACCGGTTGCTTCACCCATTTTTAATATGGCTCGTAATATTAAATTTTATATTTTTATTTCGATCATATATATATATATATATATATATATATATATATATATATTACTCTAGTAATAAGCATATAGGCCATAATGATTTTTAAAAAAGAATACCACTTGTAAATCTGAGAATACATATCAGGTATGTTGTTTACGTATAGTAATATATATGATAATGGAATAATATTTTCCCCATTTCATAGCATGGGTAATGTTAATATTAGTTGTTATCTTATATAGAAACAGCTAACATTCATTCAAAAAACAGCCAGTGTTACTTTCAGTTGAAATTTATAAAATCCTTCTCTTAAAACAATTTTTCTTAAGTCAGCTGTTATGTTGAGCTCCCATTCTAACTTTTGTTTAAAATTCTGTAGAACATCAACATCTTGATTATGTCATTATTTTGTTTGAGTTACATGTGTCATACATTTTAGTTGTTGCTGCTATTGAAAGTCCTGCTATATGGTTCTTTAATTGTGATTTTGTAGCACCAGTTCACGGAGTTTGAAGAAGGATGGTCCTTGCTAAGACCTACAGGTTTTATTCACTAAAAGTAATTTTTAATCATTGATTTTAGAAAGCGCTTGTATATGCTTGAGAGACGTTTCTGAACAAGTTGGGCTCTATACAAGACATCCATATTAAAGTCTTGTGATAGACATCAATTTACAAGTAGTGAAATGTTAATTGATGTCCTTCAGTGTTGAACATATTACAAGTGTTATTAATAAGCTGCAAATATCCAAGAGGAAATTATTACAATTATTGCTTAACAGTTATACATTTTTGTAAGAAAATCAAAATTACAACAGATAAAAAGAATTCCATTAACTTCTGTTCCATCAAATCTTTCTGAGAAAATAGCATAATTTAAGTTGATGTTTAAGCTTTTCATGTAAATCCAACTCGCATGCTGATTTCACTCTTGAACATGGTGGCTACAAAGGCTTTAAGTTTCTTTGACATAAAACCCTCCAGCTTCAGAATGCTAACATACTGGAGCAATAAAAACAATTTTATCACACACTAGCTTAAACACCAACAAAGTTTAGTATGATGTCAAGTCACTTGCTATCTATATAATTTATACATTTGAAAATAAATAAGACTATTCCATAAATGATCAAATGCCAACAATATTTAAAGTTAGCTTTACTTGTACTTTTATAAATCCCTAATTAGCAGGAGTCTGGTATTAAATGATTTTTAAATATATATGATTACAATTTAAAAAAAGGAATTGTTTTTTGTAAAAATGTGCAGGAGGAAAGAGGAGGAAAGAATTCAAAGATTAATCATTTTTGTGCAAAATAATGATACCTGTGAAATAATGACACTTATTTCATATATATATATATATATATATATATATATATATGGTTGATGCATAATTATCATGCATTTTTGTAGAATTGCTGTTTTGTTTACTTTTTTTAATAAGAATTTTATTTTATTATAATTATAAACATGCATGTCGATAATCATACATTCCCGAATAATCATTTAAAAATGTTATTATTGAATTGTTATGTTTCTTTTTTCATAATAAATATTGTTTTAAAAACACCTGATAATTATGCACCAACCCAATATAAAATAAAAAATAACAGTATTGTTTTATGCAGCAATTTTTTTTCATACTCTTTCCTGCCCTCTCTCAATTTTGAAAGGATTTTCCCCTTCAGCTTTTGTAAAACAAACACAAACAAGCATGAGATCCTTACAATTTGGGTGTGGGGGGGAGCATGAAAACAGGCCTCACACTATTATTAAGTAGTAAATTGGATTGAAATTGTGTTATTTTACAAGTTAAAGCATTTTAATGGTATTATGCTTACAAAAATCTTGCTACTATGTGCTGCTTTTGCTGGGTGACAATAATAAACACCCACAAACAAAAAACAGATCATATGCAAAGTTTTTTGTTGCTAAGGAGACAACAAAGATAAGATTTTCAATACAGTTCAACAACTGCCATCAAAAAACAAAACAAATATACTTACGGTTCTCATCGTCAGCCAACTCAATGAGCGTCTCCAGCATTTTGATGGCTTCAAAGACCAGGGTGAGCTGGGTATCGTTGTCAGGGCGATTAGTGCTGATGGTGTACAGATATTCAATGATCCTTGGAGCTAAGGCGTAGATGAAGGGGGTGTAGACAACACGGTCCGTATGTTGTAGAATAGAAATGAATGTCTGGATGCATTTCAATTGCAACTACAAAAAAAAAAAACAGAAAAACATTTTAAAATAAATAAGTATTTAGTATATTAGTATTTAGTATGACAAACAGTTGCTTGACTAACAAGGAGGGACAGAATAGCTTGTTGCTTAATCAGCGAGGTGGAGACAGGAAAACCTGTCATTTAATTGTCATTATTAAAGTGCTTGCTACAAAGAAAGTTGGTTCACTGTGTTGTGTTAGGCAAGCTTTCTCACCCAAATTCATCTTGTGCCTTTATATGTCTACTATTTGTCCATGCATTGAATAATGTTGGCAGATCTGGTTCACATCTGATATGTATCTAGAAACTCTTGACAAAATCCCAAGAAGAATCTACAATATTATTGGTTCTGTTCTGGCATCTCAGCTTCAATCACTTTCCCACCAGCATAACATGCATTCTCTACCTATTCTACAGGGTGCAGCAGAAATAATTCACACATAATGGTAAGGCATTAACTAGATGAAGACAACATTGCCACTAATGTCTAACCTTTATGTGGGAGGCATTTCTTGGAGGCTTATGCGGGAGGCATTTCTTGGAGGCTTATGCGGGAAGCATTTCTTGGAGGCTTATGCGGGAGGCATTTCTTGGAGGCTTATGCGGGAGGCATTTCTTGGAGGCTTATGCGGGAGGCATTTCTTGGAGGCTTATGCGGGAGGCATTTCTGGGAGGCTTATGCGGGAGGCATTTCTGGGAGGCTTATCTGGGGAGGCATTTCTGGGAGGCTTATCTTGGGAGGAGGCATTTTCTGGGAGGCTTATTTCTGGGAGGCATTTCTGGGAGGCTTATGCGGGAGGCATTTCTGGGAGGCTTATGCGGGAGGCATTTCTGGGAGGCTTATGCGGGAGGCATTTCTGGGAGGCATTTCTTGGAGGCTTATGTGGGAGGTATTTCTGCCACACCCTGTGTAAATATGTTTATGGTAATTGTTCTGATGAGCTTTACTCTTTGGTACATCAACTTTATAAACTGAAGCACATTACTAGATTGCCAGTTAAGTCTCATAATTTTACTGCTGAAATTGCTAGATGTAACTGTAGGTTCTATTCTAATAGTTTCTTCTCTCACATTTCTTGCATATAGAACTATCTTCCAGCTTCTTGCTTCCCTATCAACTATGATCTTAAAAAATTTAAATACAATATTAATCATCATCTTCTGTGTCCTTGAATCCTGTTCTTTTTATTGTCCTTTTTCTCCCCACTAATGTTTTCTCAGTTTTCTTCACTCTCAGTAACCATTTACATCTTAGTGGCTTTATCATCTTCCTGGAGGTGAAATGATTAAAAGAATCTTCTGTCTCCTTGAATCCTGTTCTTTTTATTGCCCTTTTTCCTCATTAAAGTTTTTCTCAGTTTTCTTCACTCTCAGTAACCTCTTGCATCTTAGTGGCTTTATTGCTTTGCTTGAAGTTATATGACAAAAAAAAGTAACTTGGAACTCTCAAAATTATATGCAAAGTAAGATTAGAGGAAATGGCTTGTTGAAGAACTGAGATTGTCCAAACTGCAGCAGTATTGGAGTCTTGTATGGATACTGAGGAAAGTGCTAGTTATGTGAAGAAATTGTACTGTCAGACAATTCTAAATGAACATACAAATGTAGGAGATGCTAATTAAGACAAAGAATAATGAGAGATTTATTCACCTCAACATTTTTGGAATCCCAGGCTTCTTTAAATATATCCAGACACGGGTTCATCAAATTTGGTACTGCTGTTACTTCTTTCGGACTGGACATGGTGAACACAGCCAGGGTCAAGATTAAAGTACTTTCATCAAGGCCAGGTTTGTCATCACCTAGAGGCAAAAGAAAAATATATATATATAGTATCATTTGTAATCATCAAATGAATGAAATCTATTACTCAAATCGTCATTAGTATTAAAGAGTTCCAAATACAAGGTGGAGGACAGGAAATGTTAAAATATGTGTGGTGGGGTTGGAAAAAAGATGAAAAATTCTGCTATTATGACCATATTAAACTTAATTAAAGTATTAATATTACAACCAAATCTATGGAAAATGGAAATAGCTGTAATAGGACCCATTTCATTCTAATTGGACAAATTCAAAATCATTTTGGGAGGATAACTTTTTGTTTAAAATATGCAATAACATACCTAATTGTTATTTACATGTGCAAAACTGCAAATGATAAAAAAAAAAAAAAAAAGAAATAAAAAGAAGCTTTTATGTTTTGATCAATACTTGAATGCATTTCAAAGATGTCTCATTAGAACAAGAAAGAAAACCATGGATACATGTCAAGAGTGCATTGTAAAAATGTCTTGATTTTGACTAACAAACACAAAGTCCAAAAGAATATTTCAGAATATGCATCATGGAATTGTCCAGGTTGGAACTCTTTGAGAATATTAGTAAGTGTGGAAAAGGTGGAACAAGGACATCTCGACTGGAAATATTTTAAAAAATGAATTGCCAAGAGCAGGGGGGAATCAAGAGTAAATTTCATTTTTATGTTAGAGAAGTTTCTTTTTACTTAAACTTATTTATATAAGATTTAAAGTCTATTTTTGTATATCTGTAAGTAAAAGCAGCCAAAATAATGCATTGTAGTTACTGAAATAAAGTAACACTAAAATGCATTAACTTGAAAAAAGAGGTAAGAGTAAAAAAAATTGATTTACAACTAAATATAATGGAGTCAGCATTTTTGTTCAGTTGACAAACAAACAAAAAAAAAAGTTCAAGGGAGATAACTTAGTTGCTCATCAGAGTAGTCTCATTTCTTAATTTGTCAATGTATAAGAATAATCTATGTGAAAATATGATTCACTTTTTGTTTATAATACACAGGAGATCGTGTAATTAGTGAGAGAACAAATTCAATATTTTTTTTTTACCCATCATGATTTGTTTTCAAAGTTTGGGTAATGAGTCACAATATTGACTTAGAAATCGCAGATACATTAATAAATCTTTGTCTGTTACAAGTTTCAGTTTTAATCAAATTTGAAACATTCTCAGACCAAATTAATTTTAAATATATTTTGTGACCCTTTTCAAAATAAAATTAATTTTAAATATATTTTGTGACCCTTTTCAAAATAAAATTAATTTTAAATATATTTTGTAACCCTTTTCAAAATAAAATTAATTTTAAATATATTTTGTGACCCTTTTCAAAATAAAATTAATTTTAAATATATTTTGTGACCCTTTTCAAAATAAAATTAATTTTAAATATATTTTTATAATTAGAATACATAAAATTGGTTTTGGCTTCACTATGAAGATTTAAGGCAGGCAAATTTAATTTAAGAAATCTTTTCACATTTCGCAATGTGAGGATTACTTAAAAAAAATAGTATAGTATCCATAAAAAAATGTCAGGATTATGCATTAATAATGAAGAAAGTATTGATCAAGACCACTGTAATAACAAATAGCAATAATAAGACTGTATAAAACTAATAATAAAATAATAGTAGTAATGATGAGTATATCAATCTAGAATATTCTGATGAAACGAAACAAGACTGAATAAAACTAGTAAGGTAAGTAAAAATATTGAAGAAGAATGTATTGATTCAGAGAGTTATGTAAATATCTAACAATAAAATGGGGTGAAGCCAATGGTGTAAGGTGGGGTCTGGAGCACCTGAGGCAATGTAAACTATTGCATCTCCTTCTTAGCCATGAGCTGTTATAAGTTCTACTTTCATACGTATTTTTTCAGCCTTTAATTTTTTTGTGCCCCAGAAAATTTAGTACACCGGACAATTGTCTCTTTGGCTCTGCCCATGCTATGCTACTGGGTGAAGCTAGAAATAAAATAAAAATAGTAAAAATATTTTGTTAAAAAAAAAAAAAAAAAAAATTAGTTGAAACCCCATCAAAAACAGCCAAAAAAAAAGGATACAAGTGTATATCTTATTGTGAGATAATGAAGGTGACATGCTAAAAAGAGAGGGTCCCAAATTACCAGGCTGAGAAAAATCCAATATAGTGGCCAGTGAACTCTGCAACATCTTCATCCAGTCATTGGCAACAGTGTCATCTTTATTGAAGTAAGAAGCACAGAGCATCTTAAGAGACTGCAGGCATGCGGACACAATGACAGGTGATTTACGCTCGGCGGATCTGGCTGCAGTCTCTCGAAGAACACTGGTGATCAGGTACAAAATGGTTGGAAGAATAGTCACACTGCCTACAAAGAGATAAAGAATAAAAGACTAGACAAAAAGTCATGTTCTAAAGAGACGAGAACAAAATGTTTTATAATATGTGACAATGAAAGCATCAAATGACAGAAAATGTAAAAAAAAAAAAAAAAAAAAAATCATGTTCTAAAGAGAGAAGAGTAAAATGCTTTAATATATGTGAAAATGAGGGCCCCAAATGACAGAAAATTTGAAAAAATATGGTGGGAGATGAAAGTGGACAATGCTTGAAAATTCACCTCAGAAAAATTATAAAAACTGGTTAAAATCTTGGGTTATTTATAACTGTTTAATCACAGACATTTGTAGGTTACAGGTAAAAACATTAAGGTTTTGTTTGTTTTACGTGCTAATACTCTTGGGAAAGGTATGAATTCTCTTCTCCTCACCCCCCACCTATGGGTAAATAGCAGGACAGACAGGGTTCTATAGCAATGGTTGGCAACTGGCCTAGGAGAAAGAAAACTGTGAATTCAAAACCTGATCCTCCAGGTTGTGCAGTAGACTAACAACCTACTCACTTGAAAACAACCTTTTTATAGAAACCACAATGATATCTTGTGACCCTATGTCCCGCAAGGAATTTAAAGAGTATTATAAGCAAGCAAACAAGCCTTTTTATGCCCCTTTCTCCTCCCTCCTAGATTTTTTTAGCTTCCTTTCGCCTGGTTTTTTGTTTTTCTCTAATTTTCACACCTAGTTTTTAACCTTTGCAATAACTTTTCAACCCCGCCCCCTTACTTTATTCATAGTGGAGATAAAGATGATATTGAACCCCCCCACCAAAAAAAAACAAAAAAAAAATCAACATCTCTACCAAGTACTTCAATGAAAGCTGTGATGTCTTTTTTTTTTTTTTTTAAATCGATTTCACCCCAAGCAAGACAGTAAAGCCACTGAGACATAAGGGGTTACTGGGTGTAGAAGAGTTATAAACAGAAACATTGCTAAAGAGCAAGAACAAAAGAAGAGTAATCAGGAAGACAGTAGATAGTGATTGACATTGCATTTAAATTTTTGAAGATTAAAGTTGGCTGGTAAGCGTGTGAGAAGTGCAAGAAAATTAATCATTAGCATAGAATTTACAGTTACATCTAGCCAGCTCAAATGTAATTTAATGAAATCTCAATGCTAGCCTAGTACTTAAATTCATAAAGAGTTTTGGAATCATAGTGAGGAGCTCATCCCAACAATTACCATGAAAGTATTTACAGAAAAGGCACAGGGAAGCAACTTGAACAAATGTGACTAAAGCCAAGTTGCCAGATCAGGACCAATAATATTGCTGATTCTCCTTTGGATTTTATTAAGGAGCTCTAGATAAATAGCCAGCAACATAGAAGATTAGAATTTACCTAACAATACTTTTGTTTATTTCCAATGTGACTAACAAATATGACTAACAAATATTACTTACCAGCAGGAGAACAAAGATTTGGCAGTTCAACCATGACTAAGACAACTGAAGAAATGATCTGACAGGCTTCGTCCGTCATTTTGGTCAAATGGGTTGGCACTTGGAAACCTGTGTTAGCAGCGGTGGGATTGAGAGCAGGGATTTGGCGCACCAACACGCAAAGACACACCTCCAAAGTGGCGTACACCACAGACTTGCCCATCACAATCTCACCGCTTTCGCCTCCCTCCCCCAACACATAGCTGCTATCAATGGTGTCCATAGATTCTGTGCTGCCTGCTTTGCTTGGGGTCTGGGCATTGTTTTCTGAAATGATGAAAAAATTTTTTTCAGAAATTAGAAAAAACATGTACCCACCAAAAGAATGTTCAGAATTTTAAAATATGGGAGCCCAAAATAGAGGAGAAAAAAATTAATGAATTCCATTTTCATTTTGTTGCTAAAATCTCAATTTGTAGTGTTAGTTTGCAATCAAATTTTAACAGAAATTTGATCTAAGAAATGTAAAACATTTCAACCTTTCTCACAAACGGTCAGGGTACTATAGGCTACTAGCCAGTAGAACCCTGAAGATCCATTAAGTGAAACCTTGGTAGGTAGGTTCTGGCTCACTAGGGTTTTTTAGATTTTGCTCTGCTTATTGTATTGAGCACTTTTACATTCTTACTTAATTTACATTGTCGGTGTTTTTTCTTTTGACTAGGCATTGCAGTGCTGATTGATTATCTTTGACCAACATGGATGTCTTTATTTTTTTCTTTACTGAATTTTTTTTCCATGATATTGGTTTGTTCAAATATATTTTTATTTACAAATTGTGTTATCCATGTTTTTTTCACACCACCAGAGTATAAGTATTAAAATAATATAATAATAATATATATATATATATATATATATGTGTGTGTGTGTGAAAAGTGTATATAAATATAAATAAATATAATTATGTATAATTATTTATATATTATATGCGCGGTACTTATTAGAAAAGCGCTCAATATCAGAGATAGAGCTAACATATTTGGTTGGATAGATGTGAGTTTGTGACCCTGGGTTTCACACTTTAGCAATCATCAGACATATATATATATATATATATATATATATATATATATATATTAGAAAGACTAGAAAGTTCAGTCTCCTACTCTATTATTTTTCTTCTACTTTTCCCTTTACTTTGCTCTTAATTACCCTATTATATTCGTTTTAATAAGTTTGCTTTTAAAGATATGCATCTTTTCTTTAGTTGCAGATTAGTCAATTTGCCAGATTTTTGCAGCTTTGTATGAACAAATGGTTAATATTGCCAAAAGATTGAAATATGAAAAAAAAAAAAAAAATCAATGTAGAACATAATATTTGGGGAGTGAGTTCACATCAAAACAAAATTATTGAGTTTAATATACATATATTATTAAGTTTGTTTGCTCTCACTCAGAGAGAAAGAGCTTTGATGGATACTAATGAAAAACATCAAGCATTTTAGAGCTTTTATGATAAAGAAGAAAAAAAAAAAAAATGATCAAGTTATATTTTGAAACGGCCGAAACGTTGTGATAAATATGGCGACAAAGATGAGGAGAATAGTCCGAATAATGTAAATAAAGTTATATTTTCTTTTTTATCTTTTTCTATTTATTTTTGCAATCAATATTTCAACTGAGCCATTCTTAAGCTTACTTCAGATAGCATCCAATGAATTGTTTAGAAGTTTAAATATCCAAATAAGAAAGACTGCAAGACAGGGAAATGGGAATGTGTTGGAAACAAAACCATAAGATACTATTTAGCAGAATTCATAAAATAATGATACTGAGAACTTTAGAGAACATGGAGCTCAGTGTCAAATTTGAAATTTACAAGATGCTTCCAGTTGCATTAAAGTGTATTACCAAAGTATTAAAGAAATTACTTATCTTTATGCTTACCTTTAGAACATTTTCTCTCAGCATCCAGATTTTCTAGGCTGGCTTTAATCACTTGCCGTACAACATCCATAACTAATAAATGAGTCTGGACATTTTCCCTGGTCAACAGGATTCTGTTTTGGAAGAAAAGAAATCAACGATGAAAAAAAGAATTCTTTACTTAACCAAAAGAGGCTGGGACATTTTTTATATATATATATATATATATATATATATATATATATATATAGAGAGAGAGAGAGAGAGAGAGAACAATAAAAATTATTTAGACTCACTGGGTTGTATATTATTATTATTTCATTTAGATTTCGACTAGTTTTTCAGCCAACATGGCCATCATCAGGAGAAAAAAAAATTTTCTGCTTGCTGGTAGCAGTGAACTACAGAAATATATATATATATATATATATATATATATATACACACACATACATACACACACACATATATATATATATATATATAATTATTTATTTAAAAATATGATTCCAAATCGCTACATAAGAGGTCTCATGTTTCAAAACAAGAGCGAAAACTTCAATATAATCCTTTAAATTAAATTGAGTTGAAATTAAAAGGGCTCGTTCCATCTTCAAGCAAAATTTTTGTTGGAATAACGTATATCTGAAATTTACTTGTTTTAAAAATTGAAATCAAAATCACCATGGTAACAGCTAGGGCGAATTGTCTAAAATGGGTAGGCGAGTGTAGGGTGTTAATGATGAGTAGCGGTATAGAGATACTTTCAAGGTGTCAAGTCGGGGGAAGGTGAGGGTGTCAAAAATGAAACGAAGATGTATTAAGCTTTCGTCAAGTTGGCTTGTCTATGGAGATTTATTTATTTATTTTATTTTATTATGGAAGGGAATTGTGCATAAAAAAAAAAAACTTTCGTAACGTTTGTTTTTTGACGACTTCATAAAGGGTTATCTTTTATGTAAGGTATTTAAACTACTAATTTGGGCTATGGATTATGAAGTTTGTAGTTAATAATTTCTACTATGAATCTGATGATTGGGTTATTTGTTAAACAAGTTATATAATTTTTTTTATTTCAAACCAAAAATCTGATGATGCCTACAAAAAACCGTTATCTCGTGTCTATTATTTAATAGATTATTATTATTTAGAAGTTTAATAATGTGTAATTTTTCATGGAGGCACAAAGGGCATGGGTCATCCCAAGCTTTACATATTTATGCTCTACTTTTGTATCGAGCACTATTTTTTAAAAATAATAACAAAAATACTAAGGAACTTTGGACTATTTACCTAACCAGTTCCTTCCTATTTTCTATATATTTTCATTATATATATATATATATATATATATATATATATATATATATACACACACACACACTTTAATTTACATTTTTTTGTGACAGGGCTGCCTTTGTCAGTTCTGATTGAATGGAGTAAATACTGAAATCACTACAAATATGAATGCTAGCTAAAAGAATGATCAGAGAAAATATCAATTTTTTCACCTACAGAGTGGTCTGAAAATCTTGTCAATTTTCTATTTCAACGCTATGTGGAGTATTATCAAGGAGAGAGTTTCATATGAACGATACCGGAATACCTATCAGTTGAAAGACACTGTTCAGAGAGCCTTTGCAACCATCAACAAAGCACAGCTTTGTAAAATATCACACAGGACATGGCACTGCATCATTTTGTGCTATGAAAATGATGGTGTTCATACAGACTTTATCGACGTGTGACAGTGTCAATGAAAGTGAATAAACTGAATCCAGTACATGTGCATTGTATTACTTCTTGTTCTAATTATTTTTTAGGAGTAGCTGACAAGACTTTTGGACAACCCTGTATTTTGTCAAACATTACAATTCCATCACCCTGTAGACGATAGACAATGAAGATGAAGGCCATACTATTGATGAGGGCCATACAAAAACACATGAATGGGAAATCCAGTTCCGAATTTTGGGGGTCTTTGCCATATGGTAACCCATCCTTAATATAAGCACTGAGTCCATGGCTGTGGTATTTTTGAGAGTTATACTGTACTATTAAGAGTGAGTACCCTGAGGTTGCGAAATCCTGAAATAGGATAAATAGGTTAAGACCAGTTTCCAACAGAAACATGACGCCTGGTTTGACCTTGTGGAGATGGTGTTCAACTTCCAGAAAGTTGGATCATAGACACCCTCACATTTGTGTAGATGTTTGGGATCTACAATAGTCGGCAGATAAATATTGCAAAAATATCAAAGTTCTTTAGAAATATAGCATTTAACCATAGGTGCCACTAATTTTTGTTACTGTCCAAACATTGCTTACTAAGTGCTTGAAAATCTTGCCATTTTATGAAAATATGTATGACTAGAGTTTGTTATAAAGACAATGTTTTAAATTGTTTGGGGAAAATGCCATATTTCTCTCTTTCACTTCTTAGATATTATCATGTCATCTAATAGTGAAATATCTTGTTGACTGCTTCAAGGTAAACATTGCTTTAATTGATAATTTACTTCTCCATCAATGAATTGTCTTGAATCATGAACTGATTCCTTATCTGAGTCAAAATATTTTTTATGACATCATATTAGTGAAATATCTCTTCACTTTAGCAGAGTCATTACTTTCACTGCTTTTATCAACCCTTTACAAATTGCCAAAGTCTGAAAACCCAGAACTTGTAAAAATATTGCAGATTTCCTCAAAAATATATGCACAATATTTCTTCATTGGCACCACCATTTTTAAATGCTAGGATGTTGTTTACAAGGTGCTGTCTAAATCATTTACCAGTGATAGGCAGAAACACTGTGATAATATAAAGAACTAGACTTTGTTAACAAGGGAAAATTGGCAAACATGGACCTTTGTGCCTACAAAAAAAAAATGACGTGTCAAAAGGACGTTTTTTACCATGACATTGCTTTTAATTACTCTTGGGCAATGTTTGTTTCAAAACGTGATGATTAGAATTGCAATAAAGCCTAAACATGAAAGTGAATTTATACATGTTTTTTTTGTTCTTGAGAATTTATAACAAAAATATTAAACTATTTATTAGATTTTATAATAACAGTATTCTAAAAACTAATACAATTTTATTAAGACTAATGCAATGCAATATTTATTATTTAGCAATTTACAAAGTAAATAGAAAACAATTTTGTATCCATTAATTTATAAACATTTACTAAATTATTAAAATGTGTACTAGCTAAAAGGGAATACTTATTATTTGCCATTTTATGGAATTTGAATCAATTGGCAATTAGCCGATGTTTTGCCAACCATTCTAATAAATAATATAATAAATAAATAGGGTTTATCATTTTTCTTATAAATTCTCAAGAACAAAGAAAATTTATAAATTCATTTTCATCATGTTTGTTTTATTGGAGTTCTAATCATTGCTTCTTTAAAACAATAAACATTGTCAAAAAATGAAAGGAGTTAAAATAAAAGCAGTGGGGAAAGCCGTCATTTAAACATTGCATTTTTTTGCAGGCATGAAGGTCCATGTTTGCCAGAAAATTAAATTACAATCTTTCCAATATAGTATTGGTAGTTACAGAAACTGTCAATGTACTACGTCATATGGCGAGAATTTTCTAAGCCCCATTCAAGTAGTTGATCATTACCATAAAGTAGAAATTAGATTCTCAAGTACAGTTAAAGAATTTTTTTTATTTTCATATCACCATACAACATGTCTCTTCAGAATGTGAGTGGTTATGACTCTCTACAGCTTCCTTCTTGCTACTGTTAGCAATACTTGCTCATTTACAGTCCCTCTTTGTCTACATGTTACTTATTTCTCTTTTTCTTCAAACTTCTCAAATTGGTTACTTTGTGATTTTCTTTATTGTGTTAAACTCTCCAAACTGCCTTTCTTTAGTATGTTCCAAAAATTTCAGCTGTCTCTTTCTGATTGCTATCAACGGTTTCATTATTATTCGTATATTCTTTAAAATTGTGGTGAAATAAAGTGTGAGGTTCAGAATGCTGTCCGAGTTTGTGTGCAGACTTATTTTGGGAGGTCATCGGATCGAGTTGGTTCTCTTTCTGATTAGTATTACCATAGTCCTTATGGCCCATGTTTCAAGCTATTAAAAGCACATGTACAAACGACTTAACAGTTGGTTGAATACTAGTGGCTTTGAATCAGCAAAATTATTATTATGATAAAACTTCAAATATATAAATATATATGTGAAGATTTCTGTTTTCTTATTTGAATTTTCTGATGCATCTTAAGTTAATTGAATAAGTTTATTGTGAATTCAATAACTACAAAATCTCCGTAGAAATTTCCCTATTGCCTCATTAAATATTTGAGCTTAACAACTTTAACAAAATATTGCAATAATAATCATAAATATTAATTCATGCCATTATTTAAAGTAAGAGGGTACAAATGAAAAGATTTCAAATTGACAAAATTTTCCTTTTAACTAAAGACAAACACACAAGAACATTATCACCTCCTCTATCTTCCCTTTCTTTTATTTCTGTCTTTGCTTGCAATCAAAACAATTACCGTCTTTCCTCACAATCAAAATGATAAGTCATTATTTATCTAAGCTAATGACTGAATGTAGCATATGGGCTAACTATGGATTGATTGACCAATTTGTTTTTTATGACTTATCAACCTTTTGCAGGTTATTTAAAGCCAGAAAGTATTTTTTGAAGATAATAATTTGCTGATACAAGTCCTACTAATTAACTCATGGCTAGTAAGAAAAAGGAGGTGGATTCATATCTTTACCAAGGTTGATTGATTTGTTTTTTATGACTTAGCCTTTCACAAGTTATTTAAAGCCAGAAAATATTTTTAGATTGTAAGAAATATTTTTGAGATAATGGTTTAGGGATACAAGTCTTACTAATTAACCCATAGTAGGAGAGAAGAAGGGGGGGGATTCATACCTTTCCCAAGTGTGTTTATGTGTAAGTGAATATAATGAACTTGACTGGAATTGGAACTTGGTTCTCCAAAATCCAATTCCAAGTTTAACTAAGGAAAATGCAGAATTATAATATAATTTATATATAACTGGCAGACATTTGAATTGTACCAGGATTCTTGTTATGTTTTATTGTTAGTCTTGTACAAGAGTTCTTTTAGTATTTTTTATATCAATTACTAGCAGTAGAGCCCGGCGTTGCCTGGGGATGTAACAGTAAGAGATAGATCAAGTATCAACCATCATAAAGACTGAAAAATAAAATTGACAAAGATTATTGTTTAAGGTTGACAAGACACGCATGTCTTAATTAAATTTTGTTTGTTTTTTTCGTTTTTTTTTATAAATTAGTCAAACTCAAACAAAAACATTGTTTTCAATCATTATGAGTCTACCGATTGAATAGAATTTTATTATAAACAATTGCCTTGTAAATGGAATTTTTAAAGCATTCTGAATGTAAAAATAAAAAAAAAGTGTGCAAGACAATAAGAAACACTAACTGCCAAAAAAAAAGTGAAGTTTTGTTGAAATCAGTTGAAAAATGTAGGAAATCCGATCCCATATATAAAGGAACACACACACGCACACACAACCAACCTTGGTTTTATAATAAGTATAACTCGATATAAGTTGTCCCCCCTTACATTCTTGACAGTGATGCCTCTTAATCGTGTATTCAAATTGATTTCATGCAAAAACAATTGTGTGTTTCCAATTTTTGGCGCTGTCTGAACCACCGCAAGGTAATTTTATGTAGTCCTGTGAAGTTTTGTTGAAATCGGTTGAAAAATGTAGGAAATCCGATCCAATATATAAGCGTACAGACACACACACACAACCTGGGTTTTATAATAAGTATGATTTGAGGAGATCTTCAATAAGTAATAATTCCTTATCCAATGTGTTTTTAAAAGACATTTTTTTTAAAGTGAGATAAAAATGACCCAAATTATTATAAGTAAAAACCAACTGGGATTATTAACAAATGTTTTCTTGCAACTTTGGTTGCACTAGAAGTAGTTTTGTTCAACACTGTAAGGCATTACAAAAACAAAATATTGATCTGAAAACACAAATCATGCTCTTAAATGATCTCATATGGATATCATGTATGATATCCAACTCATTCATAAATGTCTAAAGGAGGGGTTGGCAACCCCCACGCCACATCCGACCCATCAGCTTAACACCTGGATATTAATTATCCCATTGATTTGTAGAGTGAATGGCAGAAAATACCAGTTGGAGTTAATTGACTTACAATGCAAGAAATTTTTTTTAAATCAAAATTTTATTCCGAATCAACTGCTGACTTCTACAAGAAATATGTTTTGCCAAGCGGAAAATATAAACCCATAGAATAATTTGAAAATGATGGTATCATTATTTGGAAGTACATGTGCTTGTGAATGACTTTTTTTGAAAATTAAATATACCAACATCTTAAGAACAAGGTCGGGTGATGACCACCTGGATGCTTTTTTGCTCCTGTCATCAACAGATATTTCACCTGATGTGAAGAAGTTATTAAACATTAAGCAGAAACAAGTGCCACATTAAATAATTTGTCATTTCTAACTATATTTCATTTGTAGTAAGGATTTTGCATTTTTTGTTGATTGTGTTAATTGTTATCCTGTTATTTCAGCAGTAAAATAAGTAAACTTGTTTAAATAATATAACATTAACTTTGTTTTTTTCTTTAAGCCTCCAGAACAAGGCAGACTTCTGAACAGAGCTGTCTGAAATCGAGACATTTTATTATAGTACATTTGATATTATGGCCATCTTTCAAGACGTTGCATAGCTGCCTGGCCTGCTCTAAATAGTTACCAACCCCTGGTCTAAACTATCATCTGTATACAACTTTTTCATGAAATCAATGATTAAAAATATTTTCAGTCAAGTTAATCCTATAAAGATAATCCTTCATTAGACCTTATAGACTGACACTTCAAAATCACAAAGATTTGGGTGGTCATTTTGTTTCATGGTTTTATCAACCTCTCATGAAATCTCGGTGTTTTACTCAATAAGTGGAGTGAAAACAATAGAAATCTTTAGAAATGGAAGACAGAACACTGACCTGTGCATGACGTTAAGGAGTTCCTTGGCCAAAATCATATCTTCTCCAATCTGTTTTCGTGGCCACTGAGAGTCCAGAAGAATGTGCAAAGCCCGCAGGCAGGTGTTCACCGTTTCCTCAGAAAGAAGAGATGTTGGGCAGCACAATGACTCCATGCAAATTCCTGTAAAAGATTAGAAAAAATAAACATGTTGTAGAATCTAAACCTGTATGAGTGTACAAAGTATCCTACAAGTGATTTTGTTTATCTTGAGAATTGGTCGCCTGGTGCTACCAGAATCTTCATGATTACAGTTTTGGAAAATGTTTAAATAAAAAATAAAAATTTGATACAATATACAAGCAAGCTATTTCAGTTTATTGTCCATTCTTACAAATAATGGTTTGGTTTGTTTTATTTTACGGCATATCAACCTCAATGAGATATTTAATGCTGACAAAAATGTATTGCTGGCAATATTTTTTCTTCTTCAAAAATGTATTGCTGGCAATATTTTTTCTTCTTCAAAATGTATGGCAATATTTTTCTTCTTCAAAAATGTATTGCTGGCAAATTTTCTTCTTCAATATTTTTCTTCTTCAAAATGTATTGCTGGCAATATTTTTTCTTCTTCAAAAATGTATTGCTGGCAATATTTTTTCTTCTTCAAAAATGTATTGCTGGCAATATTTTTTCTTCTTCAAAAATGTATTGCTGGCAATATTTTTTCTTCTTCAAAAAATTGTGGCAATATTTTTCTTCTTCAAAATGTGGCAATATTTTTTTTTCTTCTTCAAAAATGTATTGCTGGCAATATTTTTTCTTCTTCAAAAATGTATTGCTGGCAATATTTTTTCTTCTTCAAAAATGTATTGCTGGCAATATTTTTTCTTCTTCAAAAATGTATTGTTGCTAGTAATGTATTGCTGGTAATAATTTTTATAAAAAAAGTATTTCTGACATTAAAACCTATTTTTACACTTTAACAGTGTTTTGATTCCAGTTTAGGGATTGATTATTTGCCCATAGCTGGGACCCAAACAGGTACTACCACTCCAGGTCAGGGAGTACCTGGGAGCACCAACAATTAAGATGTGGTTACATGCTCTTCAAAACCTCTTAATCAGAGGCCTTACTGTCGGACATAGTTTATCATCTTACCCAGGACACAGATGTAGTTTATCATCATACACAGGACGGTACAAATCATGAAACAATGTGAAACATGTAAACAATGAAAAAAAACAAAAAATCTATAAATAAAAACTGAACTGAAATGAAATTAGTTAAAATCTAAGTTTTTATAAGGATAAAGTAAAAAAAAATTAAGCCTTCACCATAGTGGAACTAGCTTTAGCTCACTATATCTTATTTGTCTGATTTGAAGATTTTTTTTATTAAGTAATGTCTTCGTCTGTTTGGAGATTTCATGTTCCAGCAGATGTTTCCTCCAGTAGCATCCTTCTCATCATGAGTTCATTTCCTGCTTTTCCACTATCCCTTTGTTCTCTACTGGAACTGACCAATGTTGTGACTGGAATATCTATGTAGAGACCGAAAACTAGTTCCACCAGGCTTAACAATCAAGACATCAGTCAGTTCCAGGAGAACAAAAAGGGTAGTGAAAAGAGTACAACACATTCTCGTAAGGGAAAGGATTCTTCACAACTGCAGGCAACATCATCCGGAACATGAAATCTCTGAACAGATCAGAACATTACTTAAGAAAATAAAGCTCTAATCAGATGTCAAGAAACTTTCGATCACTTAGTCTGAATCCCATTTAGTCTAAAAAAAAATTTGTTCTAATGAAATAAATTCTGATAGCAAATAAAGTTACAACTCTCTGAATATGTGTTTGGATTTACTCAAGATATACTGCAAATGTTACATATATAGATCAATATGTACACATATCAGTACTCTTGACAACATATAAATATGCTGTATATTCTGCTTGGGTTTTAACACTGGCCTGTATTCTCACATGCTGTATAGACTGCAGTTACCATTCTATGATATATTATTCCATCCCACTTGCACTTGTTGATAAAGTTCAGAAAGTGTTGTAGGAGGGGTAACTGAACGAGTCAGGAGTTGTTCCATCATATCCAATATATATGTTGAATGGAGGACAGGTTTGGTGATTGTGTCAGCTCAGAAAGTTGTTGAATATCTTCCAGAGACTGTAGCCAGGTATTATCATGGTGGAGCAGCACATCTTGTAGGAATGACAGCAGAATTATTATTTTGTTTGCATATCAGTTACTACTGAATAGTAAGTTTGATCCTCACAAGTTGCCCCAGATTTGCAGCCTTCTGACAAATCAGAAAATAAGCACATGCACACAATCCTTTATCAAATGTTTAGTTGGGAAGAAGGGAGGACAAAAGAGGGGGAGCAAAAACGAGGGAGAAAGGAAAGGCCTATAAATATTACTAACCAAGTATCAAATAAAGACGATCAGAATTAACCTCCTCTGGGTTCATGTTGGCTGGCATGGTGGCAGTGTAGGGGATATTCTTTGCCAGCTTCTTCTGCTTGTTGCTGTCTCCTTCCAATTCACTGTTAACACTAGCAAAGCCAGCTTCATTCAACCAGATAGATAAGGCGTAGAGAATTGGAGGCCAAGATTTCTTGTAGTGCATGCGTGAGGAGTCCATTGTCTCAGCCTGGTAAAATGTGCCTCCCTCCGGAGGAAGCTGGCTGGAATACTCTGCAATTATAATAAATAAAAATAAGATAACATCAAATTGAATTTGTAAAAAAGGACAAATATACATGTGCGCATGCACACACAAACACACATTAATTTATTTGTTTAAACATTATTTTTTAAATGGATATTCATATTTGATCAGATGCTCTACTTTTATTTATTTAGTAAACAGCATATTTATTTATTTCCATCTACGAGCATGAATGTTAGAAAAATATTCTGGCCATTAAATGAGTATCCATTAAAAATAAACATTTAATTAAATAATTAAATATGCTAAATTAATAAATGAAAAATCTATTCCTCTCTCTCTCTCTATATATATATATATAATTATTTTTTATAAAAAAAAAAAAATTATAACATGTTATAAAATCACTACAAAAATAGCCATTTTGTTTCAACACACTGTGTCTTATCAAGTGATGATGTTGAAAATAAAATATATATATATATATATATATATATATATATATATTTAAACCTATATTATTAAATATAAGAGACAATGAATGTCTATTATGTCTGATCATGAGCCGTTCAATTGTTTGCTTTAATTTTTTGACAAAAATAAGGACAAAAATTGTCCAACATTTGGATATTTTTTTTTATTAAGTTGGTCCTAAGCTTTTGGTTCAAATGAGCCATCCTCAGAGTGGTTATACAGACATGAAACAAAGATATCCACTGTCAAAGATGATATTTTGTTATTTTAATGTAGAAAATTGCTATGCGATGATAACAGTCACAGAATAGTAGACACAGGTCGTAAGTTCAAGATGCAATTCTATGACGTCATACCACATGATAGACTGAAATATTAACAACAGAACCATATGTCTAGATGCAATGTAATATGTTGTGACTAGTTTGAAATGTAATTTGGTTGAGTGTGGGTTGCTTCGTTTTAATGTAGAGGGTCTCCAATATCTGAAGGTTCTTTTTACTGTGTGTATGTGAGTATTATTATGTTATCAACTAATATCTAACATTATATACATGGCTATGTTTTTCTAAGAAATAGCGTTTAATAGAACTAAGATCAAAAAGGTGACAGGTAAGTCAACGGGAGAGTGTGGTTGTAGTAAAACCAATATATCTAGCAGGTTTATTATTAATATCAGAGATACAATAGGGTATGTAAATTAATATACTACATTGTTTTTTTGTAGAGGATTTAGTTGTGTGATTGTAGGGTTATTAGAGACTATGAGGTCAATTGTTTTAAATTTTTTTATAATATATGATGAGCTTAACTGTTTATTATTATTAATGGGTTTAACATTTCTACCGATTATGTTTTTGAGTGTCGTTTCATCATGTTTGTAATTATTATAGTGTTATGCTTATTTTGACGTAGAATATTATTATTTATAATATTATCAATTTTGTTAGAGGTATTATTAAGTTTTTATATATATATATATAGATATATATATATATTATATATATATATATATATATATATAAATTAGCTCTGCAGTAGAGCATTGTTATTTCTCATCTAGTGTACATGTTGTGTTTTCTACTAGGTCTGCATGGACATCTATTTGAAAGGATGTTCTACTTCCCCACCATATTAATAATGTTATCAGTTTAAATGTAGTTGCAGTGCTGACTACATAGGTAGAACAACCCTAAATTTAGATGCTAGAATGCATCAACATGTACCTAGGAAAATTAGAAATGGAACATTCCAATTAAGGGATGTTCTGAACAACACGTATGGTTCTGCCATTGCAGAGCGCCTTATTAAAAGCCAAAATTGTGCCATTACCTTCAGCATGGACCATTTTGAGTCATGCTCATTCACTATTACAATTGAGGGAGTGTTTGTTAGGACTTGATGTAATTTCAATTTAGATTGTATTCCGCCTTTAATTTGGTGTTTTATATTTTGTATTGCAATATATAATCCCTCGATTCCATCTCTGTTGAATGAGGGTAAAACCAGTCAGCTGCGTTTGTTTTATTATTTATTAATTATAATATTTTTTTTTACCATGAAAAGTAAAGTTGGTCTTACCTTTTTTATTTCAATAATAAAATTTTGCACCTGACATTAAATTATGAAATAATATATATATATATATATATATATATATATATATATATATATATTATTCAAATTTATAACATATGCATGTTATAAGATCACTACAAAAGTTGCAATTTTGTTTCAACACTGTTGGTGTCTTAAGTGATGATGTTGAATGGAAATCATTTATTTTCCATTCAACAACATCACTTGATAAGAGACCAGAGGTGTTGAAACAAAATTGCAACTTTTGTAGCGATCTTATAACTGGCATATGTTATAAATTTGATTAAATATTATTGTCTCTATTTGGTACTGAGAACTCTTTTAAGAATAGCATTTTTGGTTATTCCATGTGTACCAATCACAGAAAACTTAATTGGTATTGCCCATTTTAATGGCTTGTGTTCATTTAATACTAATGATAAAAGCGTGAATTTATCTTTTCCCTGCAATATTCCTTGCTAATGGCTGATAAACCCAAGAGTGGGCAAACCACAGGAGAGAACATGTGAATAAAGAGAAAATTTTTAAGGAAAATAGAAATAAAAACGATGCTTATATCTAAAATCAGAAAAAGACAGTAGAAATTTCTTTCATACAATAAGGAAAGATGGCTTGGAAAATTTGGCACTCACAGAACATATCGAAGGCAAGAAAGAAAAGAGAGAAGTAGCAAGCAAACTTACCTTATGAGTTTGTGTAAACAAATGGCAAAACAA